ATTAGAAATTAAATTGTATGTATGGTTCAGTTTAGACAAAATACATATGTGTAGTCAAAACATGGACCTTTGGGACAAATAGTAATTTTTTGTGACAATCTACACATAATATAAAGATAAATTGGGTGCAATGACGAAAAAGAGTTTCCTAAGATCACTCTCATACCACGAATTTTGAAATGAGACTCTCATTTTCCAATTATATCATTATATTATGTGTATATTTGTCACAAAAATGAATATACTCGTCACAAAGGTCCATGTATTGGTTACACTTCTGTATTTTGTCTAAACTAAACTACACATACAATTTAATATTAATGTTTGAATCAATGTTACTTGAGTTCCGATTTCAGAACTAATCTTTTTCTATAAAATATAAATAACTGAAAATAAAATATAAATAAAGAAGCATCATCACCAAACATATTCCTAGAGTTTAATCAAAGAAAAAACAATAAGACAATGTACCGTAATTGGTTATAATACTCTTTATTCGTTGAAATTACCAAGGTTCAAACTCCAGTAATAACATTTTAAATATATAAAGATAAACTGGTTGCAATGACAAAAATGACATTTCTAGAATCACTCAGAGGCCACGTAATTTGAAATGGAACCATTCCAACTCATGTTTTGCCTTTATATATATATATCTTGTAGATTACGTGTAACGATTTTGAATCACCAACTGGGGATGAGTTAGGGTGGCAACTAAAATTTTAGTAGCCACCATGGCTACATCACTATCTGTCGTTCATTTTTCTTGTTTTCCTCTTTTTTTAATCCCATGGTTAATTTTGTTTTAGGGTAATTTTGGAATAAAAAAAGAGTCCACACCTGATTATTCTATATATGCTACTCAAACCCTAATCTACCATCCCTCCATACCAACCCTAGACGACGGCATCACCCCTCCACCCACCGCCGCCCACCTCCACCCGCCCTCATCCCCTCCCCCCACCTCCGCCCACCCTCCCCTCTCTTCCACTCTCTCCCCCCACCATCCGCCCCCCCACCTCCGCCCGCCTCCTCCTAAAACTGAATTGTTCTTTGTTGAGACAGCCCTATACGAGGGCCAGGGGATGAAGCTCACCGGAAAACAAGCCAAGTCCGGCGTCGCCCCTCCTCTCCCCTGCACACCGTCTGGAGGCGCGTGATGGCGGTGCCGCAGTCGACGATGACGCCGCCGTTCCCGGCCTCGTCGAGCTCGAAGACCGAGGCCGGAATCGAGAGCAGCTCCCCGCCGACGCTCATCCCGCTCAGGGCGACGTAGTAGAACGTATCGACCTTCCTGCTCTTCATCAGATTCGCCGTCACGGAGTCGGCGGGGAAGGCGGAATTGAAGTCTAGGGTTGAGGAAGAGGTGGAATCGCGGTTGACGAGGCAGTAGGAGAACGAGGAGGAATGGTATGTTTTTTTTTAAATGGTAGTCTTTTTTTTTCAGTAGTGATTTTTTTTAAATGGTAGTCATTTTTTTCGTAGTGGTAGTGTTATTGTCGTATTGGTATAGTTTTTGTCGCATTGGTATTATTTTTGTTGCATTGGTATTGATTTTGTCGCATTGGTATTGATTTTGTCGCATTGGTAGTGATTAAATCTGCAATGGTATTGATGTTTTGTGAAATGGTAGTGTTTTTATTTCTTGAATGGTATTGATGTTATGTGAAATGGTAGTGTTTTTATTTCTTGAATGCTAGTTTTCGTGTAATGATATAAATTTATTTCTGCAATGGTAGTTTTCGTGTAATGGTATAGATTTATTTATGCAATGGTATTGATATTTTTCAAAGTGGTAGTGTTTGTCTAATGGATTGGTACTGATTTCGGTTTTTTTTTTTTTTTTTTTTTGCAGAAAGATTGAGAAAAATATAAAAAGGAAATCTGGCTGGAGATTACGGAAGTGAGAGAAAGAGAGATTTTTAATTAATAGATTTTTGTAACTACCTTAAATGTAATTTACAAAAAATTAATTAATATAATTTATTTTTCCATACCCAATTTACCCTTAGTAATCACCGTAGTAATCACCGTAACCTGTCCCTCACCAACTGCTTCGTCGAGAATGGGAAATGGGTTGCAAACGTTGCGATATGCTTCTCAAATGAAATGAAATGAAATTGAGCAGTACGTACTATTCGAGGATGCCGCAGATTAACGCATGCATGCATATCTACACCGTTGATTTTTTGTCAGACTGCCACAACACAACCCGCCGATCGATCGAGTTCTGCCGGCCAGAAATCTATCTGTGTGCCAACAATTGGGAAAAGCGAGCTGTGGTAGAGATCGATGTATTGTCAATTTTTGTATTATATTAACCAATCTGTTCTATCTAGATATTGAATTGGTCAAATGAAGAGATGCTTTAATTTTGTATCCAATTTATCAATTCAATCTAATTCATTCATTTAAATATCCATGAATATAAAAAAGAAAATATGTATGAAGTTGTAAGTTGCAAATACTCCATGAATTGACTCCATCTGCCACCTCTATCGTGCCAGTGTTGTCAGTAAGGTTTGCAGGACGTGTTGATTGAACGTGAAGTCAAAATCATTACTGATAAGCTTTTGATAGTGTCGATGTGTGCAATGGTCGAGGTGGTGTTATTTTCTCCGAGTTACTACACGAGTAGAGTTCCTGAAATTATAATTATCGTTTTGTTGGTGGTCTAACAATAGGATAACTAATTAGATAGTTACAAATGTCCTCTCTTTGTTTTCTGTTGGTTTATTGGGTTCGATTTCGTTCGCCTATTATGTGAACGAATGTGTTTTTTCCATCCTGGTACTTTCAATAAACTTTTGAAAGAAAAAAAAATTACGACCCATTTCTACACCTAACTCCTAAGTGGCATTAAGCATCCCTAGCGGTACGAAAAGGGAGGCCGTGATGATATCATCTAAATCCATACCGCTCATTATGGAGTAGATCCCACATCATTGAATTGATCTCAAGATTCGAACTCAAAATGTGATGAATGTTGTTATGGGATTATCAATGGGCCAATTCATGAGGTTTGAAGTTTGAACGACTAATTTTCTTTTGTTTTCCAAACATCCCGCTCAAATATAATAATTGCCTCATATACTTAATTATCTCATGGTAATACGTGAAGCCAGGGAATCAGTGATTAGTCCGATGCATGGGTTGCTAAATGATGCTCATGGATCACAAGCCTAATCCTCGATTGGCTTAATTATTGATTACCGGAACATGGATATTTGGTTTTATTTAAACTTGGTGCCCATGTTTTTTCGCGTTGGCCGAAAGCCCTTATCCAGTTGTCTACTTGTTCGTTCCTAGACTGAAGAGTGTTTTGCTTTTCAATCCTAGAATGCCCTCTACTAGTTAGGTAGTCTACACACTTATTATCCTCTATGTGAATGTGGACAACAGAAACATCCCACTGTTTATGAAGCAGCTCAAATGTTTTTTTCTCTTACAGAGGTTTAGATATTGAATTGAAGCTTTAAGTACCACTTCTCGTATGTATTAACTATTAATGTACGCAGTAAGGTAAGGTGCACCTCCATCCATATAATAAATTTTTACATCAAACTTATCAGAGAGAAGAAAATTTGACAATATCTCTTTTTTCTTGATAAGAACGAAAATGAAAGTTATTTCAACAACATTAATAACTTAGAATCGAGAAAGAAAGGAAACCCTTAATGAGAAGTGAGAAAGAAAAGAAACACAGAAGGGAAGAAGAAAATTAACTCATTTGTTGACATTAATAACTTGAAAATTAACTCAAAGGTGTTGTATAAAGACCCATTTGTTGACCTTGAATAAATTTTTTGTAGCCGATCTATTAACTCCAATTTACACCTATGAGTACTACTTTTGTCGACTCCCACACCTCTTTTTTTTTTGCAATGGGTACAACGACGGATCTAGAACATAGTAGAGAACTTGGTCGCATTTCATTTAAAATTACTTACCATAAAAAAATTATTTTTTTAAAATATCAATTGTACACATCAATTTTTTAATATAATGAATCATCGATAATGGAGTATACATCAATACCAATAGCATATTACTCTCTTTCAAATAAAATAGTTAACCAATCTGCGAGAAATTTATCGCTCATTTTGTTGCACAAATCATTTTTCACCTTTTTCATTATTGAAAAGGTTCTCTCCATAGTAGTTGTTGAAACGGGCAATGTCAACATTAGACAAATCAATTGACAAATCAATTTGTATTGTGTGTCTATCCCTATTTCGGTTTCATTGTTCTTTTTTTAGACGAGAATCATTGGAGCTAGAATTTCTAGGCTAAATTTAGAGTTGTGATTTGAATATATTCATCTGACTCAATTTCCTAATTACACATAATTTTATTATAAAATAACACACTAAGCCGAATGGCTAAAATAGATAAACTTATAAACTAGCTTCATATCCGAAGGAGGGCTGGGTCGTGGCCGGATGACCACCCCTGGATCCGCCACTGAGTGGGTAAGATGATTGGTCTTCTGGCGATTGATATCTTGGACGAATTAAGGTACACATATGTAGAAGGCATTATACATCTTTATGGATAGAGACAATTCAAATGGATCAATGAATAAACGTTGACGATATAACTAGCTTTTATTAATAACAAGATGGAAAATAAAAATGGTTTCAACAGTAGTGATAACATTTTGGGAAATAAAGGGGACAAAAACAGAAAGAACCAAGAGCAAGACAGAACAATCAGAAACATCTCTCGTACGCACAAAAGGACTAGTAGTGACAATTGTCAACACTAGCTTTTATTAATAAACGTTGACGATATAACTAGCTTTTATTAATAACAAGATGGAAAATAAAAATGGTTTCAACAGTAGTGATAACATTTTGGGAAATAAAGGGGACAAAAACAGAAAGAACCAAGAGCAAGACAGAACAATCAGAAACATCTCTCGTACGCACAAAAGGACTAGTAGTGACAATTGTCAACCATCGATTAGGAAATCATTCAAGTGTACGTCAATGATTTCTTTAAAGAGGCACAGGATCAATGAACAGTGACTTGAGATGATCTTTTATAAGGTGGGGGTTGGTGAAGCAATCACCATTCTCATATAACACACCGACCAGACGTGCCAAGTTGAGGACACACTCTGTGATAGCTACTGGAAATAGACTTGGTTTTTGACACTCTTCGGCAACATCTTTCCAAGCATTAGAAATCTTCTTCCATAGGAATTCAACCGCTTCTTCCTCCGATGCTTTGTACTCCTCCATATAGCATTCCACAGCTGAAGCTGAATGCCCTCTCTCTTGTTCAAACTATGCTAAGAAACCACAATTTTATGAAATGCACTCCACTCTGTTTGTGAGATTCATAACATAAAGAAATATAAACGACAAATTACCTTGTGAGTGAAAATGTCATCTCGAAATCTACCGATAACTGCAGTGGCTTTCATCATTTTAGGCTCATTAGCTACCCACTCAAAAGCCTCCCTTGTAGCTACTTCTGCTCCCATACCAAGCATAGCAGATGCGCAGAGTACAGGGATACCGCTGCTGCCATATCCGTGGATCATGTACTCTTCTAGTGTCGGAACCCGGCCTTCATTTCGACACTCAACCTCACCCAAGTATGAATGGATTAGTCTTTTGAGCTGCAATACGTATAACAATATAATCACCGAGAATCAATCGGTTCCAATAAATTGAGGGTTGTAGTGAGAGGGTACAGAAGAGAACTTATATTTTTTTACATGGTCTCTCTAACAAAAATTAGCCCATGTACTATTGACATTGGGGGTTGTGAGAATTTGAACATAAGAGTCATTTTTAATTAGCACAAACTCGATCTAATAAATATAAAAAATCAGTTGATCCCAATAGTTTCAAATATTGGAAGTGTTCGAAATATTTCCCTTACATTATTTTGGTTCACTTCTTGTCCGTGGATGAAAACAAATACAACTATGCATGTATATCTATCATAAGAGCCATTTGTTAAATAGATCATTACCTCTTCCTTGAAGTACTCGATGCCAAAAGTGGGTCCTATTTTTCCAACTTCCCTCTCAAAATCATCATACATATCAAGGATGATACGATGTACTCTCTTCATACTGTCGGGCAGTTCTTGAAGAGCTCTAGCATCCAACCTTGAATTAAGAATATGCACGAATAAATATACAATATACATGATCAATAATTAAGTGAAAGTGCTCAATATATACATGACTTATGTGGTAAGAACCTTTCATCAATGGCTTCTGTGAGGGACCGAACCTCTTCATAAGTAGCATAGTTATCATAAGTGTCGTCCAAAATTGTTATAACTAACCAGAATTTGGTGGCTATAATCCTTCCCAACCGATATTTGGGCTCGAAGAAAATAGAATTAATGCCGTAGTAACTCTCCACAAGTCTGTCTCTTACATATGGAAAGTCGGTCGCCTCATAAATGCTTCCCCACCACCAACTATATACGTATACATGTACAAAAAAATCAAACCAAATAATTAAGGTTATGGTTATTATTAGTAATACAATATAATTTGCATGTTAGGTTCTTACCGCTTAGATTAGTGAATTTTTTTCATGGTTAGTTAGAAAGCAGATCAAGTGTGTAACCCTGATTTGCATAACTTATGTTTATTAGAGGTGAATGATACGATTATTGTCAGTATGATAAGTTCAAAACATAACATATTGCTATGGTAAAACTTATAATACCCTTTCACTAGTATGGACGAATGATAAGCAAATGAATAATTAGCCCCAAAAGACTTACTTAGCGAGTTCCTGGAGCTCTTGTTGATGGAACTTTTGGACCATGTTGAAGTCCAACTTTGCAAACATGAGAAGCTTTTGATTTTGAAGAGAAGTGTCATGATGATCAGAGTAGAAATCGATGGAGTGCCTAGCAAGTGACCTTGGTACACATTTCCAAGCGGGAACGCGAAAGGCAAAATCAATTTGCTTTTGGAATGAAGCGTTGATCTTCTTGTCTTGCATCATTGATTTAAGGCTCTTCGTCGCAAAACTTAGGGCTTCATCCAATATGTCCTCTCCATTGAATGCAATGTGTGCTGCTTCGTACAAGCTCAACAATCCTTGCTCATCCGTCGCCAACCACTGCTCGAACTTCCCTTCATTGTTCATAAACTTTCTAAACCCATCTACGCACATATATACAAGAGATGTGTTAATTATTTATCAACCAATCCATTAATTAAATATATCTAAATTCTAATTCGTTATATGCACGCGCGCACACAGACACGCACTGACGTACCTGGCGAAACAGGAAATCCTTGTTGTCTGAGAAGTCGAAATCGCAAAGCCTTATTATAGAGATCAGTACCTTCCTCATCAATATTAATGAATGATGAGTTCTCTCCCACATCATGCACTCTTTCTAGTGCTTCTTCAATTTCTGTTTCAAAATGATATCCAATGCCCAATCGTTGGATTGTATCTATCAAACGCAGTTGGTCGGCGATCATTGTCTCGTCATTTCCACTTTTTGCTTCATATTTCACCATCTTCCTCACTTCTTCCTTTAGAATTTCATATTTCGGGCCTCCTTGTTTCGCCTAAAAATTTGTCGTTAAAAGTAGAAATGAATAAAACAAGCTGCACTTATAAGGTTATTCATGCTAGATCTCTTACAAATGATCCAAAGTCAAGAACAACATATGTAAGAAAATTTCATTTCCAATATGTCATTTGAAATAAAAGAATTATCTGTAATTTTATATCTACATCATATATTATGTTGAAATGAGAAATTCAGTTCCCATTCCAAATTTCTCTCGTAATGAGAGTAATTTTAGTCAATCCTTTTTGTTTATTGTAACTCTCTCATGCAATACTGTAAAATCCATTCGGCCAAAAATAATCAGAACCAAGTCAAGATATGATCCAGGGAGTTAAACACTCAAAACTAATCGACGTAAATTGTTGGTTTGCGACTTTTTTAAGAATTTAATATAAAATATTATATGTGTTTGTTGGGACTCAATCTCAAGCACATTGCACTTAGTTGAAAGTTAAATGGATATCTTGACCAATTGCGCATTTGCACTACATGAAATCAGTGTAGATAATATTTTTGACGGATCACATTAACAGCAAGACTTTATAGATCTCTATCTCAAAATAAAATAGAAAACTTTGTAATCCCTGAGCGAATGCGTAAGTTAAGATTAGATAAACGAACTATTATAAGTGAGATGATAAACATTGAAATATTTTAAGTTAGTTATTCAATAAATTTGGAATATTGTTCGACTAAGAATTTAGCGGCTTAGCATATTATTACTTGTATAAATGATTGCATATGATTCATAGAATGCTTTGCGTTCACTAATGAAATTAGTGTTTATATTAATATTGAGTAGGATAGACTTGTTGGGGCACAACGGAAATATGGTGGGATTTAGGATTGAGAATATCGGAAGAAATTATTTCACTCCAATATTTTGCAGAACAGTCTCTGATAACTCCGACAATTGTTGCCGTTTACATTAAAAGTTGCGGCTCTTATACTATTGCTCTGCTTCTACCCTCACAAACACTCAACCCACATTTTCCCATATTTGGATTAGGCAAGTTTGTTGCCTTAACCCTTTTGAGGTGAGTAGCTATGGCTTTGCTCTCTAGCTCTCCCTGCTTCTCCATGCCTAACAATGGCTTCTGTTTATACTAAATTCCAAGCACTCCACCACCATTAGGAATACTTCAGATACATGAATTATTTGGTTGGTAGGTTTATTGTGTGGCTGCATTTTATTTTCATTAGTTTAGTTTAGTTATTATTGGTAGGTGGCGGATGATAGAGATGTGTCCCTGCCATTACTAGAGTTTGTAGGCCAAGGTAGAAACCTCTAGAATTGTGGATTAGGACTTTCAACAAGACTTAGATTTCTGTGCGAAATCTATAATTTAGAAAAAATCATCATTAAACAACTAGATACTAGACCCGGCCAGTTGGCCGGATACATTTCATCAATGGTGTAAATAACAATAGTAATTATACAAAATAAAATACTTTTTTATTGGTACCAAATAAAATCTAAATTATTCGATTGCTAAAAGTATTGAAAAGAAACCTACATTATTAGAGTTTTTTCAACATTTCAACCCATGCATTGATAAAGGATCCAAATCCTACAAAATTTTTAAATTGCTTGAAAAATAAAATTTTGACATCCATGTAGAGATTTCCAATCAAACACAGTCTTCTGCGTAAGTTCTTATTGAAATTAAAACCAAGACTAAAGTAAGTGATCTGTATTCTAAAAAAGCTAGTCAAATTACTTTTCATTGCACTATGCGTTGTCACACATTAGAGCAAATTTATTTTGGCTTCTTTGCCATTGGCGCGCCACCAACATCACCATTGTCTTAACTCTTAACCATTAACAACATAACTATCTACACCATCAAATGTCTTTTCCTTCTTAACAATGTCATTATATGTATCAATGAACCCACGGCCTCCACCTCAAAAGGTCTTTGTCATTATCCTCTTTTCATTGCTAGCAAATTTTAAGGCAAATACGAAGCATCATTATCACGTAATATAAATTTACATCATCCTAGTCATTTGCATTAATTGTTGGAGATGTATACTTTCCTATCTTTGATTATCTTTCAAACTATACACTCACTTATGATATTTGTAATTTCTATTGTCATTCATGTGATTTTCACTCCATTACTCAATTTGTAGGAGAAGGGAAGGAGGATACCATCTTTTGACATTATTTTTGAACAGTTTCTCATCAGTCAACATCATGCACATAAAAAAAATGTAGTCTTTTGCACTTCAAAATTACAAAGTCCGATTCAACATTTTTCTTCACCAATATGAAGTTAGATTGAGATTAATATTCAATTGAATAAATATTACATATGCCCAAATCTCTCCTACTTTCCCTCCAATTTATAATTGTAACACGTCTTTTATACTCCCATGTATAAATAATGCTATTTATTTTGCTAAAATATAACCCTTATAATTAAAACAGGTACATAAGTCTCATCTAAAAGATGGTATTTTAGACAATTAGTATTAAAAATTATGACATAAGCCATTTCGAAATATATACTAACCTCTCGTCAAGGAAAGTTAACTTACATGAAATCCTACCGATGTTCGTTGTCAGGGAAGATCATCCAACAATCAAGTTAGATGTGAGAATTCAATAAAAAAAAGATTAGATATGGGGCCGGGCATATTTACAATGATGTCAGATAGAGATGACAACTTTGTTCTAACCCATTTTATTCGATCTATTTGACATGTTTAAAGTGGGTAATACATATCCCGTATGCGGGCGCGGGCAGGTCTGAGTACTCTTCTCGACCTTATTTGTCCCACTATCTTCCAATTTCGATATGTTTTTTTTGTCTAAACTATATATAATTTTACTCAGAAATACTTATGATTTTATTTTATTGTCTCATAATTTAACAATAATAAAGTTGTAAATAAATGAGTATCGAAATTTATTGAATAACTTAACTACATTTTTTCATGTTATAGTTTGTTTGTTGATTTTTTTATAAAAAATAAATATTTCTATAATTACATATTAATATGAATCGACCTGTCCCGATTTATGTCATGTAGTAAATTGTCCACCTTGAACCCGATGTGATACGATCAGGTATGAATATCCCAATTGTCATTCCTAATGCGAGAGTGACTGATGCAGGAGTAAGAATTGCGAGTAACTCAAATTAAGTAATGCAGGAGAGCGAACCCCTTACATAATTTAAGAGTGCATAACCTGGCACATCACTATCAACTCAAACATTTATGAAATTTTATGTGGCATCATTAATTCAAGGTCGGGTTATGTGGATGCTTAAGTGATATATGAAGTGGCAAAAAAAATTCAAGGCCCAATCCCTTGCATTAATGATGCCAACCATAACCGTAATGCAACTCAATAAAAAAACAATGATGCCCCAAGAATTGGAGCTTGAATTTTCTTTTTATTCAATAAGCTTTTTATTCATACCTCAAATTTATTAACACACCAAACAGTACCGAAACAGCAGCCAAACAAATAGAAAGACTAAATAGTCCTTCTGAAGTGTGCGCAGGGGCCGGTAAAATTGAATTGGAGGAGTTCTTAGGGAGAATCTCCTTATATTGATTGTAGGATAGGATAGGATAGGATTACACAGACCTTAGAGCTGGATCCAAAGCTAATAATAATAATAATAATAATAATAATAATAATAATAATAATAATAATAAATCTAACTCCCCAATTCCCCATATATTCATTATTTTTGAACATATAATGTCTGTCATCTCACTAAATTTTTTTACCAAAACAATTGAAAACGTTTAAGGGCCGTCTAAGCAATTAATCAAAACCCAAATCCTACAACTAAATGAATGATATAAAATACTCATAGTTAATATATTCAATATATTAGAGGTGCAATTTAAGGAAAATATATCCAATTCATTATCAAGTTCTATATATATTAGATCTGTGGGCACACACATAAAGGTGTGCCGGATTTTTCACACTTCAAACTCATGGAAGTAATTCAGATGTAGATGGATGATATATATGGTGGATGCATAATTATTACATATCAACATAACTCGAGTTGCTGGAACTGACCAGTTAACAACATCACCATTGGTAATAAAATAAAAATAAATTAGTTTACCTTGAGGGAGAGATCAACTTTGTCGAGGAAGTCATGGCCCCAGACTGTGTCAGGGAAGGTTGCCGGTGAGACCAGATCCACTGCGCCGCCGGTTGCCTTTCTAGCTGCCGCCTTAGCAGCAACAGCTGAGGAATAAAGTGGTAGTGAAGAAGACGACGACGACATGATAATAGCAATACGCATGGATATAGCTGTTAGTTTCGATACAAGGTGCTCAATGTGCTATGGCAAAGGTCCTGGTGATCAGTAGTAGTTCAGCACTCTCACTGCTATAAATAGCATCTTTCAAATCAATTTTAATAATTGAAGATAATACTAAACTGTGATCGTATCTTTTTTTACTAAACTAATATAGTGTAGGCCAAATTTAGAGACACCCATGACCGTAGCACTGACAAGTCTAGCGTATAATTAATAAAGACAAATATAAGCCTAGAATGGAGAGCAAGTAGTTGGATACCCTTTGGACGTACGTAGCCGGTTCT